TTTCTTTTCGCCTAAAGCAAGTCTTCTTTGGGTAAACGGCCTTAAAGCGCTTATATCTGAGTTATGGTTTGAGCGGAATCAAAGGACTTTCGAAGGGAAAAGCCACTCAGCTTTCGAATGCTACAGTATAGCTAAGTTCAAAGCCTCACAATGGTGTGTTCTCTCCAATCTCTTTGCAAATTATTCTCCTAGCATGATTTGTTCTAATTGGGAGGCTTTTTTGTGTAATGTTTAAGCTTCATTTATTAAGTTTGGTTTGTTTGTATCTTTTTTTTTTTTATTTTTTTCCTTCTTCATCCCTTTGGGGGTTTGTATCTTTGAACAATTTTTGTTCCTTTTCATTTATCAATGAAAAGTTCGTTTCTTGTTCAAAAAAAGAACAGAGATTAGGCTTATCTTTAGGAGTGTTAATATGCTAAAAGACTTTGGACATATTTTATATTTAAACAGCTACAACAGGACTTGATGATATCAAAAACAGAAAACATTTTCCCATATAATCCAAGGCCGCTAATAACTGAACTAAAGGAAAAAAAATGTACCTGTTTTGATGTAACATTCATGACCATGGAACAAAACGAAATTTGTCGATAGGCAATCTAAGACTTTTGGCAGCAATGCAACAAAGTGTTGACCTGCATATTACACATTGAATGCATGAGTCTAGTAGAAGATTTCACAAAACCAATTAATCAAAAGATAAACAGCGAACCTGAAGACTGGATGGCTAGAGATAGAGCACGACAAGCTGCTGCAGAGAGATTACCATTCTCCATATGTTCACACCTTAGAAGTTTCTCTAGCATTGGCCAGAAAACTATCAACAAAGAAAATATAGGATCATCCAGAGTAGGCTCAGTTGACAAAGATGTGGCTAGATGGCTAAATACAGTTCCCATCCTGACAACAAACAACCAGGCATAAGGGTTTGAGCAGAAAACGTTCTATACTAGTCAAACAAGAAACGACTATTTTAATACAATAACTTCATGGACATGAGATTAGACTCAAGAAGTAAATGGATGTAATACCTGAAAGTGTTTAGTATTCCTGCGTTCTTAGTAATAATTAAGGAGCCAGAAATTGGATAATTTTAAAACTTTATTTATTTATTTTTTTGTGACAAGAAACAAAATCTTCTTTGATAAATGAAAAGGAACATTCAATGAAAAGGAACATAAATTGTTCAGAAATACAAACTCCCAAAGGGGTAAAATGAAGGGGATGAAGAAGAAAAAAGGAAAATAAAAATAAAGAGACAAACAAACCAAAGTTAATACATTGAATGAAAGGAAGCTTAAACATTACACAAAAAAGCCTCCCAATTAGAACAAATCATGCTAGGAGAATAATTTGCAAAGAGATTGGAGAGAGTACACCATTGTGAGGTCTTAAGAATGAATAAACCACCACTCAACCCAAAAGCTTAAGCTGATGTGTTGGGTAAATTTAATTTGTTTATATGTATTCTAACACTCCCCCTCACTTGTGGGCTTGGAAAATTACATCAAGACCCAACAAGTGGAAATTATAATAAATGGGGAGGAACAACAATGCAGGGGTTCAAACATAGGACCTCCCGCTTTGATACCATCTTAAGAATGAATAAACCACCACTCAACCCAAAAGCTTAAGCTGATGGGTTGGGTAAATTTAATTCATTTATATGGATTCTAACATGAGGCTTTGAACATAGCTATATTGAAGCATTCGAAAGCTGAGTGGCTTTTTCCTTCGAAAGTCCTTTGATTACGCTCAAACCAAACTCAGAAATAAGCACTTTAAGACCGTTTACGCAAAGAAGACTTGCTTTAGGCGAAAAGAAAGGACCAAATAGCGGCTGAAAAGTTGATGAAGATACTGACTTGTCCTTTACCCAAGCTAAATTGAATATATGAAAGAAGAAATCCCAGCAAACTGATGTATAAGGACAAAAAGAGAAACAAACGCACTTGGTCTTCACAATTGACAGCACACAAAAAACATATAGAAGGATGGAGGAGCATGTTTGGCAACTTCTTTTGGAGAGATTCGGAAGTATTTACTTTCCCATTAAGGAGAATCCATGATAGAACATTCGCCCTTTTTGGGCAGGCTGCACGAATTCCACAATCTTGAAATAAAATCCTTTGGCAGAGATGAAGTACCAAATCTAGGCTTACAAAGGGAGCTAACCAAAAAAGATTCTGAAGAGTTTAAACTCCATTTCAACTTATCTTCATCATCACAAAGCTGAATCGGATTTAAACATGACAGCAAAGATAAAAATTCTTCCAATTCTTCATCCTTTAGCATTCTCCTAACTTCAATTCTCCTAGAAGCAGAATGTGAGTCCCAAGCATCATGGACTGATATAGGAGGAGAAGAAGAGATCTGAAATAAGGATGGAAACCTATCCTTTAAGATAGAATCCCCCAACCATAAATGGTGCCAAAATAGAACTCGTTTGCCATTCTTAACATTGAAAAAGGTGAAATTTGCCACCAACGACCACTATTTTTTAACGCAAAACCATGTACTACGACGACTACCAATTTTTTTCTTTTTTTTTTGGATAAGAAACATTTTATAGACAGAAGGCACAGAGCCACAAAAAACAACCTAAGGGCAGGGGGAAGRGGGCTCCCCCTCCCACGAACTAATGAAGAAAAGCTCTCCAATCTTGCAAAATCGATGAGAGGCTGTAATTACAAAAGAGTTTTCTATGCCTATAACACCACCAAGAAGTGTGTAACTGAACTGTATTACAAAAGTTTTCAAAAGAAGAAGACTTATCCTAAAAAATTCTATTGTTTTTTTTCCATCCAAAGATTCCAAAAGAGGGCTTTAGCTGCACGATTCCACCAAATTTTAGCTTTTCCTTTGAACTGCCACCCCCGCAGAGCTTATTCATCCACCTTCAACATGCTGAGGCATGCAACTGGAGTATCCAAAGATTTGAAGAAGAAAAGACCACCCTCGGAGAGCAAACTAACAATGAAGAACTGCTTCTGGCGCCCAACACCCAAAAGTTTTTCAGGAAGACAGATTGCAAAGATGGTTTCATTTGGATGTAGAAAACAATGAACAAACAAGGAAGCTTTTTGGAGATAACCATAGAGGAACCCTCTGAATTCCAAATCCCAAATTGCCGCTATGTAAATTTTGAAGGAATCCAAATAGGACTTTCACGACTTCGTCTCTAAAATCGTCTTCATCGGTCAACTCCATAATGCCACCACCGAAGTGATCTTCTCGTCAACAATTTTGTGGCAAATCGAAACTTAGATAATTACCTATTCAACAATCCGATAACGATTCTATATTGGAAACAGAGGTTCAAAATTATAAAGAGTGTCGGCTCTGCTATGCTCTATCTCCATGAAAGGTACAAACAGGTGGTGATTCTCATAGGCGTGAATGCAAGTTACTAGATAGCTAATTGAATGGGAAATTGGGAGATTTCAAGCTTGCGAAAGTGTACGAACATGGTTGAATTCAAATACGACTCGGATCATGGGGACTTTGAGGTATACAGCGTCGAAGTTGGCAACGACAGAGAAATTGACGGCGGTGTTGAAAATTTACGCGTTCAAGGGCTGATACTGGAAGTGGCGTGTGGGTGGCGGCCAGTGGAGGCGAAGCACTGCGGAGAAGATTATGTAACGTAAAAGTTGCGCGAAGAAATCGAATGCAACAACCCCACGATATTTTTGGATTTAATTTTGTTAATAATAAGAAAAGAAAATAATTCTTCCTTGATTACTCCAAATGATTGATACAAGGCTATATAAATAGCAGTCATAAGTAGAAACTAAAAAGAAATTCTTGCCTATTAGGATAAGGAAATACTTACCTATTAGAACAATAAAACCCTAACCTAAATAAAATAGGAAACCTTTAAAATAAAATAAACTATAATTTAA